GTTGCGGTGGGTCGTCGGCGGCGGTGGAGCTAGCGGGGGAGGGTTGCGGTGGGTCATCGGCGGCGGTGGAGCTAGCGGGGGAGGGTGCGGGTGGGATCGAGATCGAGATCAAAAAAAACATATACTAATGGCGCACTGTCTGGGTGATGCGTCATTACTAGTTCTAACTAGTAATGGCGCACTTTAACATCATGCGCCATTAGAATGTATGAAAAAATGGAAAAAAAAATTCAATACTAGTGGCGCACCGTGTGCCTGGTGCGCCATTAGTGTCTTCCACACTAATGGCGCACCTCTAACCGGTGCGCCATTAGTATATAATAGTGACGCACTGCTTACCTGGTGCGTCATTAGTATCAATCCTATCTATATCCGTTTTCCTAGTAGTGGCCTGCAAACAGAATTTGCATCCAGCAAAGGATATGACTGCATTTTTTATCAAAAAAAGATCTGCATTTGGGAAGACATTTAGAATTGTTAGGCGAGTGAAGGAGGAGGTCTTCGGCCGTCTCGATCGCCGAAGAAACATATAGCGGAGAACACTGACTCGCATGTATGGAACGATCCAATCGTGCCAGATGAGCCATACGAAAAAGCGGACGTAAGTGGCCGTATGCATTGTCTAGATGCAGAGGCCGGGGGTCGTTCTCCTTTTCTAAAAAAACGAAGAAGCAGACGTGCGAGGGTTGCCAAAGAAATTTTTGCCCCGGCACACACAGCTTGCTGTGATGGGTGTGGTTGAGGAGAGCGTCCGTTGAAGATAGGCTACTAGCTAAACTACAAGCTCTCACCGCATGGAGAGTTTGGTACACCTCATCTAGATATTCATTCAGTGATACCTTATCTAGTGACTACTTCCTTCGTTTTAAAATAGATGACTCAAAAGCTGGATCATCTATTTTGGAAAGGAGGGGAAGTAGTTGGTAGTACGCCTCATGTACTTCATCTTCACCGCTCACAAGAGAAACTGCAGCATCTTTGTAGCTAGTATAGACATGTGACCACTGGCTAGTAGGTTCACTGAATATCATCCCAGGTGCATGATTGCTTGGTGTTTTGTCTTGTGATATTGATACTTCTGGCGGCATGCATCCAGTAGTTTTCTTCCTGCCGACATGTAGAGGTCAACAATACTGTCTTCATAACCCTAAAAAAACAGTATTGTTTTCGTCGGAAGCAAGTTGACGAAGAGGCGCTCTACGAAGATGGCGGTTATACAAGCAGTCTACCAATCACCGTATCAGAGTACAGTGCATTTTCTGGAGTAGACAATAAACTCGAGCACAGAGTACATCGCATTTCTATGATTACCAGTGCATAGGAGTACACTAATTGCTACTCCCTGCCTCCGTAAACTAATATAAGATGTTTTAGATCATTAAAATAGTGATTTAAACGCTCTTATATTAGTTAACGGAGGGAGTACTTGGCTATATGGTAGACTGCACTTGTACTTCTGTAGTAGGTTCACTAAATGTCATCCAGCCAACATGTTGCTTGATATTTTTTTTCTTGCTTGTGATACTTTGGTAGCATCAAGTAGTTTCTCATTCTTGCCGACATGTACAAATCAACATAATTATTTTCATCATGGCCAAGTTGACAGAGAGGCGCTCGACGAAGATGTCAGTCATAAGTGCAGTCTACTATTAATTCTGTGAGAATACAGTGCATTCATATGTCTTACGTTGTAGACAATAAACTGTAGCAGAGTACAGTCCATTTCTATGATTAGCACTGTGCTTCCACCATTTCAAAATATAATATGTTACAATTACTTTAGAATTATGTTGCAATGAACAACTCCTCAATGACATTTACCTTATGTTGTTTGGTAGTCTCGGTCAATTGTTGGTACAAAACAGACCATTCGGCATCAGTGGTTAGCTATACCAAAACAATGAACACTATAGATTGCTAGAAAACAGTATGTTTCTAAATCCTTATTTCACGCCTAGCCAAATACCACATATTACTTGGTATTAATGATGGCGCTTCGGCATTTTACCATAATTATGCTATAATCAGATAGAATTATTCGGCTCAAGAAAAGTCAAGATATTCCTCAAATTTGGCCGGTCACAATGCCTGTCTTCAGCCATACCATGTCATCCACACTATCTATATATATGGGTGTTGTTTCTTTTGACGTCCGCATAATAATATCATCCTAGGATTTTTATTTTTTTTTGCGTCCCTCTCTTTCTCTCTGTGCACTGGACCTATAGCCGCATGGGATCACTGTAACTTTGGCAGCTGGCGACAAAGCAATAATGGACTAGAAGATGTTTGAATTGAGTAGGACAAGTTGCCAGCTTGAGTCTATGCCACCCACGCATTTCAGTCGACACAAGAAAACAAAAACCACATTTGAATTGGGAGGCAGTCATGGGCCTTGTAACCACGGACCAATAGTACTGAACCACTTGCAACACATGGTTACAAACAGGCACACTATAAGATAAGATGCACCACCCAAGCAGTTTTTGCCAAGAGCACTTGCCAATCACTTGCACCGCAAAAGAAGTTTTTGCCAAGAGCACTTACGAATCACTTGCACCTCAAAAGGCTTTCTTGCTGCCACAGCTGAATCCATGGCGAAATGCGGGCTGCTGATCCTGTTCTTGGCATTCCTCTTGCCGGCGGCGCGTGCGACGTCGTGCCACCTCGACGACCTCCGTGCGTTACGGGGCTTCGCCGGAAACCTCAGCGGTGGGGCTGTCCTCCTCCGTGCTGCCTGGTCCGGTGCATCCTGCTGCGGCTGGGAGGGCGTGAGCTGCGACGGCACTAGCGGTCGTGTCACGGCACTGCGGCTCCCTGGGCACGGCCTTGTGGGGCCCATCCCAGGAGCATCCTTGGCAGGCCTCGCACGGCTGGAGGAGCTCAACCTTGCCAACAACAAACTGGTCGGCACCATCCCATCGTGGATTGGTGAGCTTGATCACCTTTGCTACTTGGATCTCTCGGATAATTCATTGGTTGGTGAGGTACCCGAGAGTTTGATACAGCTCAAGGGGCTCGTCATAGCTGGTCGTTCACTGGGTACGGCTTTTACTAATATGCCATTGTATGTCAAGAGCAACAGAAGAACACTCGATGAACAACCAAACACAATAACTGGGAGCAACAACACTGTCAGATCTGGAAGCACCAATGTTGTTTCTGGGAACGACAACACTGTCATATCCGGGAATAACAACAATGTGGCTGGGAGCAACAACACTGTCGTAACCGGGAACGACAATACCATAACTGGTAGCAACCATGTTGTATCTGGGAACAAACATATCATAACTGACAATAACAATGCTGTATCCGGGAACGACAATAATGTATCCGGGAGCTTCCATACCGTATCCGGGAGCCGCAATACCGTATCTGGGACCAACAACACCGTATCTGGGAGCAACCATGTCGTATCTGGGAGCAACAAAGTCGTAGGAGATGAATGATTTGTAAATGAATTGTTTCCATCTTCCTTGACGGAGCTCATGTGGTTGGCCAAGTTCAATGTAGCTCACAATCATTTGGTGGGTCCAATCGTGTTATGTAACTTCTTGGATATATATATAGCATCTTATTTCTACTTTAAATAAGATTTCCCTGAAATATCTTACATGCTGACCTGAATATCAGCGGGGACTTGCAGCTGATGTGGACGAAGCGTGTTTGCTTATGAACAAATTTGCATCCTGGATGTCTAGATGGGGTGATTATTCCATCTCTTGTATTCGCTGTTATGTGTGATGTTTTCTTATGCTGATTGGGATGTGTATCACATGGTGAATTTTAAGTGTTTTGTTAGAAGGGAGAGAGGGATTGATGGAATAGTTCGTTGTATTGCTTGAGCCTCGTGTGCATATATATAGGAGTACAATGGTCTATTTAGAGTACAAGACAAGACAAGACAAATCTTAATCTATCTTATGTTTCCTAATGAATCAATATACTTAACATCCCCCCGAGGTCACAACGGTAGCGACGCAGACGGTGAGACTGGAGAAGAATCCGAAGGCAAGCCAACGGACACCCCCACACAGTCCTAACGGTCGACGCATCGCGGAAGTCGTGGCTGGAGTGAAAACCGACGAGGTTGCTCAAGCAAGGCGGTAGCCCTTTGTGTCGTTGTCGAGGTAGCCGAGAGCGTGGGTGGTGGAGCCGTGGTCGAGGTAGCCGTGGTCGAGGTAGCCATGCGAAGAATGTCGTGGTCAATGTCGAGTCGGGGTAGCCGGTGTCGAGGAAGTCGCCATGGAGCCACGGGCGCAAGGAGGCGCCGAGTTAGCATGGGCGCAGTGATGTCGAAGTAGGGGTGCGCCGGAGACAGGATGGTGTTGACGAGGCGTCGCAGCGGGTTTGCCAAGCCCGGGGACATGTCGTGGACGAAGGCACGCACCGCTGTTGCCAGCACTAGGCATGCGTAGACGAACGAAGATGAAGTTGACGAAGCGCCGCACCAGGCTTGCCAGGCCCGGGGACACGTCGTGGACGAAGGCACGCATCGGTGTTGCCAGCACCAGGCATGCGTAGACGAGGGACCTGCACGAGCTATACGCCGTGTCGAAGAAGTCGGAGGGGCCAGCAGAGAAGAACTCAACGACGATTGCAGCGTCCATCGACGCGCGGCCAATGTCACCAATGGTGGTCTGAGTAGACGAAGTGGTCGGGGTAGATGACGGCGACGCTGACGACGGGCTGGTGCTGGACGAAGACGGAGAAGGTGGATGGGCGGCTGCAGCGGCTACAGGGGTAGCGGCGGCGGCGGCCAAAGAAGAGCGGCGGCGGCCTGACGGCGGCGACGATGGCTAGGTTAGGAGCGCGGCGGCGGTGCTCGAAGGAGGCGAAAAACCCTGACAACATGACAAAGACCAGCGCAGACGGTAGCGTTCCCGCGTCAAGGGAGGCGGCGCAGCGCATACCATGGGAGGTCAATGCACGGTGACGGCGGAGTGGACCGAGGGCCGTGGCGCTACAGCCCGAAGGGGCGACGCAGCGGCGGCGGGCAGGTCGGGGCGACGACAGGAAGACCTCGGGACGGCGGCGGGGATCGAGGGCTGCGGCGCTACGACTAGAAGGGGTGGTGCAGTGGCGAAGCGTGGGTCGATGCAACTACGGGGACGGCCTCGGGGCGGTGGCTGGGACCGCATATCGCGGCACTACGGCCCGTAGGGGCGACACAGCGGCGATGCAGGAGTCAATGCAGCCGCGAGGAGAACCACGGGGCGGCGGCGCTGCGGCCTGACGGGGCGACGCAGCGGCAGCCCATTGCTCGATCGGCGGAGGGGCGCGCTGAACTCGGAGACAACCTTCACGGCACATGCGGAGGCGCACGCAACCCTCGGGCCAGGTTGGTCGCGCGGCGTAGATGGGGCGGATCGCGGCGGCGTAGATGGGGCGGATCGCGACAACGAGGGGGTGATCAAGCCGATCGCGCACGAGGTCGGGGACGCCGCTCGATGGAGGCGTGGTGGCGGCAGAGTCCGGGATGAGGCCAGCGACGACGGACGGCGTGGGACGTCGTGCGAACGAGCGTGTCAGCACCGGCACCCGAGCAGCGAGGCCCGAGCGACCAACGGAGCAGTGGCGCCCGAGTTGAGGCATCCGACGAGCGTGACACAGCCGTCCCAACGCACCCAAGGACGAAGCCGGCGAGGTAGACCGCCGGGCAGCCGTGCAGACACGGCGGAGGCGGGTGACGTGGATCGATGGGCGAGCCGTCGCATGGCGCGAGGCCGCCGGGTTGGGGCGATGCAGGTGTCCCGGTCGGAGCAAGGCGGTGACGGCCGGCGTAGATCGACGAGCGGTGCCGGTGTACGGACGACGGCCGTTAGGGCCGCCGCATCGTGCGAGGCCGTCCGGTCGGGGCGACTGGCGAGCAGATGCGCGGACGACGGCCGTGAGGGGCCGCCTGTCGCGCGAGGCCGCTGGGTCAGTGAAGAGGCCGACCATTCACGCGGTGTCGAAGTAGAGGCGCATGGGGGTCGACGATGGCGGTGGGCGACGCAAACTGATCCAGTGGATCGGAAAACCAAAAAGTAGACGCCGATCAAAGCGACCGGCGAGAGAGAGAAAAAACTGGATCAAAGGATCGGGAAAAATACTGTTTAGGCAGCTGATCGACACGACCAACGGACGAACCCTAGGTACGGGCGACGCAGCCCCCGGCGGCGGTCGCGAAGTTTAGACACTTATTTTGGGATTGAGTGCTTCGTAATGTTTTTACATGATGAGATGCATGTTACAGGGACTATCATGCAGAAAGAGACAATGCGAGAGCCTTCTTCTGCTTTTTTTTTTGAGACATCTTCTGCTTATTTCCGTCAACGTGCGAGGCTATACCTCTGGACTGGGCTGGACCGGACTGGGCTGGGCTGCCAGCCCATGTAGAGGAGGGAGCTAGCTGGCCTGGCGTCCTGAACGGGCCCTAAATCTGGGACTTCGTCCCCTAAAAAAACTGGGACTTCGCCGGAAATTTGTTCAGATCGAGATATTCTTCCTGTAACCTCCGCATCGAGCACCGCCGGGAGAGGGCCGCCGCCGCCTACCAAGCTGAGGGTTGTGGGGGGTGTGAGCCGCCTACAGCGCCGAGATCGAGCGCCACAGCCGCGTCGGGAAGGGCCGCCACTCCGTGAGGAACCGAGGGGATGGAGCCCCCCGTGGCCAAGAAAGCGACGGTGAGAATCGCCATGCTCCTGTCGCCGTTCTTCTACTACTACTCTCGATTTATGCGCCGTTTAGGAAATAGCCGAATCTGTAATCAAAACAGTGTAGTAGTTCTTCATTTGTGATCAGGCTAATTACAGAAAGCAGGGTTGATATCAACCCTTATTACCAGAGCAGACTCCTCAAGGATTTGGTGTAGTACTTGTTTCGGCCGGCGTTGCATTGTCCGCCGCGTCCTCCTCGACCCCGAACTAGGGCGGCATCGAGTAGTAGGCGCCTGCGGGTCTGGTGTATTGGAAGGGGATTGACACTGGCTGGGAGTAGTGAGATTTTGGGGGTGCTTTTGTGTGCTTTGGGATAACTCTGTGCTAGTTAAGGTCTTGTGTAGGTACTACTGTTTGTTTTTACGCTATGAATGTTTTGAGCCTCTGAATTTTGTTAACTGATAGTGACAAACTGATGACTGGATCCATATTTCTGTATGCAGCAACCAGAGGAGGAAGATAGGTTGAGCGTGCTGATGGATGATGTTTTACTGTCTATCTTGCGGAAAGTCGACATAAGCACCACTGTAAGGACAAGTTCGCTGTCAACGCGGTGGAGGAAGCTGCCCTGGCTGCTGCCTGAGCTCAGCATTGATGTCAGGCATTTCCTACCTGTTCCATGCCCAGACTCGATCACGGCAAATGACTGTCAGCAAGCTATGGTGGCTCTAACCAAAGCAGCCAAGTGTTTGCTTGCTAAACCTCACAGACAATCCACCATCACAACTCTGCAGCTTAAGCTCTACTTGATCAGCACTTTCTTGAGCGACATTGGCCCTCTATTAGGTGATGTGATCGACAGTGGTTTGCTGAAAGATTTGGACCTTTGCCTGCTTGATGATCTGAAACCTGGTGACTCTTCTGAGTTGCACATGATACAGCTCGCCAAAGACATGTATGGTTTCTTCAATGTCTACCCCAGTGTGTTTGGTTGCCTCACAAGACTTTCTCTGCATGGTGTTTGTTTTATCGAGTTGGATATGCACCATCTCCTGTTTGACTGCTGCACACAGCTGAAGCATCTAAGCCTCCATTATTGTGATGCTGGTCGCCGCTCTGTGTGGAAGATAGATGCACCAGACTCAAAACTCAGTGTTCTGGAAATCGACACATGTTGCTTTGAGAGAATTGAGTTGGTCTGCCTTCCAGAACTGGAGAAGCTCCATTGGGATACTTGGGTGTCTGAATATATCCCCTTGTTGTTTGGTGATGTCCCGTCTCTTGGGGAACTAAAACTCTCATCTGCTTTAACATACTATAATACAGTATTTAAATTAAGTGAGCTTCTACATGGAACCACAAGCATACATACTCTTACATTGGATTTCCAAGGAGAAAACGTATGTACCAGTTCATTTTTTGTATTCGCTATACTGTCACACATTTGTATTTTCTATATATGTTCAGAGCTATCTAGTTATATTATGTGATGGATGTGTATTTTGAATGATGGAGAACACACATAGCTGTAAATAATTTGATGACATACATCTCTATGCTTTTAAATTGTTTCTTATAGATGCTTCTGAACTGCTTTGTTCTTATTTTCTTTTAATTTTGTGATCAGCTTTGGATCCAACCTGAAATGAAGCAACTCTGCACCGCATTCAACAAGCTAAGGAAGCTGACTTTGCGTGGTATCTTTGTTGAATTTGACATTATATGGACAACAGCCTTCCTTGAGGCGGCACCCTCCATGGAAATATTAATTATTGAGGTAATGCTGTTTCAGTCTTATCATTCCAGTTTTGTTGTTTCCCTTTCATTTTGATGTTCTGTAAGCTTTTCTCCCTTTCACAATTTATGAGCACATTTCTACCTTCCATGTTTGTAAAAATTGAAGTGAGGGGTCCCTTCCTTTTACCCCCAAATCTTGTTGCCTTCCTTTTTCTTTCCTCGAACACGCAGCAAAAAATGCATGTTGTTGCTCATACATAATAAGAGAAGTGTTTTTTAATACTGGAATCCAACTGCATCTGTAACATTATTGTTCATGAAAATATAGGTATGGGACCATGCATGCAGCGCATTTGTGAACGATGAGGAGAGAATGTCGGTATTTGCAGAAAGGAAAAACCCTCATTGGGAGATGGACTTCCATTGCTCCAAGAACGGGCTACTGAAAGAGCTCCAGTTTGTCGGCTTTAGATCGCTAGAACAGCAGTTTGCGTTTATAAGGGCCTTGCTGGACCGAGCTCCCAACTTGCAGACGATACTTCTCAAAGGAGCCGAGCAATGCAAGTACTGCGATGCCCTTGATACCAAGTCGTGTTGTTCAACAGAGTCTTCCTTTCCAAAGAGTGAGGATGAGCAAGAACTGGTGGTGAGGCGAATCACAGATGGCAAATCCTCACCCCGGGTGATTTTCCATGAATGATCGTTTCCCTCGGGGATGAGCCGCCTTATGTAACGTCCTCTATGCTAGTCAAGCAGTTGCATGAAATTCAGGAGCTGTTATGTACCAGCCAATAACGTAGTATTATTTTTCTTTTCTATTGAGAATTGCAAATTAATAAGCGTACCTGACTCTTCTATATTTGCCCTTGCTTAGCATATTTCTGCCTGTTTGTTTGTTCAGATGATGTAAACTGTGATGTGATGTTTGATCATGCCGAGTATGCGAATGGACCTGGAGGAGATTGGCAACATCTACCGGAGGCACCTTGTGGCTTGGTTGTATGGAACCTATGTCTGTTTCTCTATCACAGACACAGGGCTGGTATAGTTGGGATGCAACAGCTTTGAAATTTATCAGGACTTGTGAGACCTGATAAAAGGAAACTGGCCAACACAAGAGCGCAAAAGGTGTAAGATAGGGTGTCCTTTGGATTCGATATACATCCAGGTTTAAAGTTGAGGGACAAAACTGTTTTTTCTGCCTCTATCTAGGCTTAAAGTTCAGTCAAAAGACACATCAATTTAGCTGTTTTTATGCAGCCATCTTGTAGATGCAGGCTGCAGATCATCCGGCCAAGAGTATTCTTAGGCTGGAGATAATAAACTGGAGGAGAGGATAGTACATTCCTATGATTTGATTACAGAGGAAAGCGCAAGACTCATTTGCAGAGTAAACAGACAAAGTTTCTCCTGCTCCGTCAGCACATTACCAACTAAAAATGGCAAGAAAACCGGATCACCATAATCCAGTACATTCATTCAGTTCAACAATGAATGGTCAAATCCCGCAAACAATAAAAAGCATATGAATGATCCAAGGTGACGTTTTTACGAGAGGTACAGTAGAATACACGACAAGTTTGTCCACAATAGTACCCAGGTTACATTTGACAGTACATATGTCTCATTTAACAGCAGATGGTCAAAACACATGTGACCATTCTGCTGCTGCATCTACCGGCGCAACCAGATGACAAATGCAATCCCGATCTTCGCCACAATACAACCAGTAGTAACAGCAGCATGCCCATACAGATTAATTGTACTTGGAAACAAAAAATTATTCCCAAAGTCAGAAAACCATTACAGCTACAGAACTAGTTGCGAACTAGAAAGAATTACTAGCCAGAACCATAAACTAAACTGGGGAACACCCAGAGGCTACTTAGTACACCACAGTCTGGAGAGGACGAAATATCATAGAAGAACATGGAGCGGACTGCGCTGTCTGGCACTGGCTGACCAAACTCGACCGCGGTCCAAGTTTCATCGGGATCTTCAGTTAGCCTCGCAAAATAAATGCAGTTACTCTTTCCTCCCCATCTTTACGGGCTCATGCAACAAAATGTAGGATTCCTTCTATCAGGGCTAACAAACAGAGCATAATTATCCAACTTCTCCAACTTCACCCACTTAGCTGGCTCGACAGAGAAGTTGAGGCGAGAGACCCTAAAGATTGCATTAGATGAGCCACCCAATCCGCCAGAGCTGGACCTTCGGTCAATCAAGAGAAGCATGTCACCACAGACCACCAACCATGAGTTCATAGGCACAAACTCCTTTTTAATTGCTATTTCTTGCATGCGGAACTCAGGTGTGAAGTGTATAGTGTGGAGCCTAAGGAGAGCATCTATGACAAAGATATCACCTTTGAAGAACACAATCTGATAGATGCGTTCATAATCAAGAGTAAGGGTGTGCTCTGACCAGGAGTTCGTTCCAACCTGCCACTCAAACATTGAATCTCTAGAGAAAAGGAGGAGGCGAGAGTTGGGTGAAATCAATGGGGCCGTAAGGATGCCTATGCCACAAAAGTACCCAAGATCATTGTTACGTGGGAGTTTGGGGGGCATCACCTTGCTACCAGTGTACACATCGACAAGGAGGCAGTGAACCTTGTAGGAGAAGATAAGATACCCATGCGAGCAGCCCAAATAGTGCATTTTATTTGGACTACTTTTAGGCACTGAACACGCAAGGGATGAGTTTTTCTTGCTAGGATCACTGAGCTGCCATTTGCAATTAGATAAAAGGATGGGCTTGATAGGGCCGCTATGTGGACGAACATAAGGACCATCTGGTTTGAAGTGGAGCGGCGGGAAGCTGAATGTATGCACAGAGGGAAAGGTAGAGACTGCAGCGCGCCAAGAGCGGCAGGTGCCAATGAATGCAAGGAAGTCATGGAATGAGTCAAACAGAGCAATAATTTCGTGAAGCATAATTTCTTGAAGCAGGCTGTCCACGAGATCTGCACAAACATGAGGTCCAGACAAAGGCAAGGAGGTAGAGGCTGAGGCAGTGGAGGCGTTCTTCGAGGTTCTCTCCACAGTAGTAACTTCTCTGCCACAGAAATTCAAGAATAGTGGATCAAAATAAAGAACTGAAACATAATTAGAGTTAATAAATACTTCAGGAGTTAAAACAGTACGAGAAATGCAGTAGGCTTTAGCTGAACAATAAGGCAAACATGAGTGTCAACTGAGACATGCCAAACTTCAATCAAAAGAAACTACTCTGGAACCACCTACACCTTGACTTTGTTTTTCTAAAATAACATACTCTAGCTATAATATCTTTGTGACATCGGAGGCGCGGCGGTGGGCGTGGCGGAGCCATCGGAGAAGAGGAGAGGGAGGGGCGGTGAGGGAGAGAGAGGAAGCGGTGGAAATAATGCGTCTGGGCGGTGACAGGAGAGTGGGGGGCGAGTAATGAGTCGCCTCCGTCTCCCGCGCTGCCCAAGGCGTGCAACTGCCTCGCACGCATGGCCGTGCCCGGCCATGCTCGCGAGAAACTGCCGATTTGGTAGTTTCCGCCGGGCCAAGCTGCGGGTTGCTTTAAGGTCCGTGCGGGCCTCAAACCGCATGCAGCCCAAGCAACCAAACAGGCTGCGTCCATCCTGCGCGGGCCTGGTTGGGCTGCATGCGGGCAACCAGACACGCCCTAAGAAACGGGTTGCATTCGCCATGCTTTTCTAATGCCAAATACTGTAGTTTTCGGGTGTTTAAGATCTTTTAGGGAAACAATTTCGTGTGCTAGAAGTCGAATATCTTATGAAATACTCCAGTACTACTGTATTCGCCATGTTCCAGGATCGGTTACAGGTTCGCAAATTGTTCTTGTAGGAAAGCTGTTGTTTATTAGGAGTTTAGGACTTCAGACATCGTGACTAGTCAGAAGTCAGAAGACATGTATTGCTTGTTGGTTTGGATTGCCAAGCATCACATCACATGCCCAGAGCCCTTTGGCTTTGGGTCAAGTCCACTCCTCCAAAAAATATGGTTCGTCTTCGTCAGCCATGATTTTAATCTGAATACGACCTGCAAGATAAGCTAAACTAATTAGTTGAAAATTGCAAGAGTGATCCAGATCTAGACTCCACCCCAATTAAAGGGCCAAGCTAAGCTACCTAGCTGCTCTTCATTCTTATCCCTTCTGGCTCTAGCTCATTGCAGCGCACCGCAAGTCGTCTTCTCAGGTAAACCAGCTCATGTACGTTCCCTTCTGTATTTCGCCCAATAATACAGCTTCTGACCAAATTCTTGCTCGGATATGCAATTCTTCACAGCTCGAAGCCCACAATGTCATCACCACCATCGGAGCCGCTTTCTTCTTTTGGAACACCAAACTTTCCCTTTCAGGTGTGATTTAACAGTTTCAACTAGCTCTCTGGTTAATTATATACTCCATCCGTTCCTAAATATTTGTCTTTCTAGAGATTTAAACAAGTGACTACATACGGATGTATATAGACATATTTTAGAGTGTAGATTCATTCATTTTGCTTCGTATGTGGTCACTTGTTGATATCTCTAAAAAGACAAATATTTAGGAACTGAGGGAGTATACAACAAGATCCTAGTTAATCAGTAGTGCCATGGTTCTACATGTAGCTTTTGATCCCCATATCTTCACTGTACATATTGCATACGAGAGTTATCTTATCCAGACCGATTTTTATTTCTTAGTTGATAAAGGAATTTTATTTCTAAGTCGATCAAGTTGTTCATCATGAAGTCTATAGCTGAAGAAAATACAAGCTGCACAACTTGTACATTTGTACAACTAATTCCACATAATTTTTAAACTATTTAACTACCTAGATTTTGTTGGATACCAAATCGATTTCAAGATTGCTGACTTAGAATTAATAATTTCTCAATCGGCATAGAAGTAGATAGTCTTTGCTGTAAAACTTCGAGGGGTTAAGAAAGTACTGCCGTGCTCGTAACTACTTCTATCTGCAAGGCTTTTCAATTTATGTAAAGTATTTTTTTTTGCGGGCTAATTATGTGAAATATCAATGACACTCTTACATGCTCATTGCTCCCACAGGTCAACTCGCAAGGTACGAGTGGTGAGTCAAGGATGCCAGGATATAATTTTTTCAGGCAAGCTACATGTGATTTTTCGCAACTAATTGGCAAGGGCCAACTTGGGAAAGTTTACAAGGTATTCCATTACCTTACAGGCCTACATAGCATCTTCGACTTTTGTTGTCAAATACTCTTGTACTTATATTCTTTCCTATTCTCAAGACAAATGCAACAACAGACATTCAATAGGAGTATTTTGTTTCTGCTGATCTCTTGGTTTTGTAACTTCCTTAGGTCATCTTCAACAAGTTGTACTTGTTAATGAGGGGAGGTAGGAAATTGTTAGCTTATGATTGTACTCATAGGAATTAAAATAAAATAAAATCCTATGATCCAAATGACGATTGTGTGAGAAAAACCAAATGAAAATCCTTCAGAAGTTCTATAGAAAAATCCTACAATCCAAAGACGCCTGGGACATCAGATTTTTTGTGATGTAGAAGAAAAAGGTAACATTACTTGAAATTTTAGTGGCTTTGAATTTCTAGGTTACCGAGAGCAGCGCTGGACTGGCTGCTGTGGCATGTGCTAAAATAAATGTTTTTACTGCTCTGGGGCTGAAGAGCTAACTTAGGGTTTCTTTCCTCCTGTTTTTCTTAATGGTGGTAGTTTTAGGGTTTACACAAGATACTGACATGCACATGACATTCAACGGAGTTCACAAATGCAAGGGTAAAACCAACGGCATATTGGCAAGAAAATGTGTTCACTAAAGTAGTGATCTAAACGTTCTTATATTTCTTTAAAGAGGAGTAGCTTACAAACAAAATTACATGCCTGAAGCCAGTTTTGCAAACAAACAGTTTGTTAGGGGTAGATAAGCAATTTTTTCGTGCAACGAACTCTTGTATATTAGGACACCTGTGAGAAATCAAATTTCTCATGAGGGGCTAGCATGTCTACTTAATAAGGTCTTGATAGTTTTAGTAACAAGGTGTTGAACATGAATCTTCTCCGAGTAAATAGCATGAATCTACCACAATTCAGGCTAGGTTTCCGAAAAACTATCGCTTTTGGAAAATTTCTTAATACCTACCACTGTTGTGGTTTTTGATTTCAGAAATCTACCATGTCGCATAGATTACTATATATGTTGGTAACATTAAGCGTGATTACACAGCTGGTGTCCACTCGTTAGGTTGACAATTAGCTTTGAACACTAGGTTGACCGTTCACAGGTTATGACAGATGGGACCCAAATATTTTTTTAAAGGCAATCAGGTACCTACATTAAAAGCAATCAGGTCCTTTGCAAAAAATTTAAAAAGCAATCAAGTCTCTGAAAAATAAAATAAAAAGCAATCAAGTCCCCGACGACGAGCTCGTCGCCGTAGCCGATGTGGGCATCGGCCGGCCTTCAGCGCTGCACTGGAGCAGTAGCCGCCGAAAGCAGCAGCAACATGGGCAAGCAGCAGCACCGTGGAGCAGCAGCGACAAGCAGTAGTGGAGGCATCAGCAAGCAGGAGCAGCTCGAGGAGGGGATGGGAGGCCGCGGCGGCCGAGGGCCAGTGTCCGTCATGGCGCACGGGGCGCAATGCGGGCTTGCTCAGATGGGGGCGGGGCAAGGAAGGGAGAGCTGGAAGGGTGTGGCGGAGCTCCAGCTCGCCGGTGGAGGTCGTCGGCTGGGCGGAAGCTCCTGCAGTGGGAATTGGGGATTTTGTCTTTTTTCATTAGGAATTTATAATTCCCATGTGTAAGTTAACAGTCAACAAGCAGTCAAACAAACGGTTCACTTATGTGTGGGCCTCAGCTGTCATAAGATGGGTTAACCTTAATTAAACCGGTCATCAGTGTAGTGTAGTAGTTTTTTAAAATCAAAAAGCACAGAAGTGGTAGGTATTAGAAATTTTTTCAAAAAGCGGTAGTTATGCTATTTACTCATCTTCTCCCTCCTCCTTGCTGCCACAAAGTAGGTTGAAGCATAAATCTAATTAACCCAGCTGTTGAATAGGCACATCTTCCAACCGGAGAAGTGGTCGCTGTGAAGCTGCTCTATCAGATGACAGGGTTTGACGACAAGAGATTCTCGAATAATTGTACACAACTTATGAGCACCAACCACAAGAATATTGTGAGATTATTGGGCTATTCATATGAAGAACATGAAGAATCACATGTGCACTATGGGACAGCCATATGTGGTGTATACATACGCAGGTTAATCGGCTTCGAGTATGTGCCTGGTGGAAATCTTTCCAATTTTATTTCAGGTGCGTGAGTGGTCTAGCACGTGTATTTATTTGCTCAACATATAATAAAAAATAGCCTCAAACATTTGCATTTTGAAAACAATTCTCTTCGGTCCCGCAGATCAACGTCTTGGATGGAGTATACGCTTCAAAATAATAAAGGGGGTCTGCGAGGGTTTACAATACCTTCATGAAGCTGGCATTGTGCACTCTAATCTCACCCCAGGTAATATTTTGCTAGATGGTGAGAAGATACCAAAAATCACAGATTTCGGTTTATCTCGGATGTTCAAGCCAGTAAACAAGAGAGCCACAATGAGTAAAACTATTTCTTATGGATGGTGGGGGTAAGTTGATGTTTCCTTGAAACACAATTGTTTGATCGACTAACTTTGGTTTTCTTTACTCTCACTTTGTATGTATCATTTGTGTTATGATGCAGTATGATACGTGAAGGAGTGGTGTCAAAAAGGTCTGACATATTTAGCTTGGGTGCTCTAATTAAAGTTATATTGACTGGAAGTACGGAAGAATCGGACATTAATTGCATGGACGGTCCTGAATGTGTTGAGCATGTACGAATAAGCTCTTTGCTTATTTAAGTTTTGAGATTATCAAGTATACGCTGTTACAAAGTGTACGCTAAATATAGTGTCTGTAAAGGAAAAAGTCTGAAATTGCTACTAATTAAAGGTTTCTCTTGATGACTTTGTTCTTCACCCTGTGCTCCGCAAAAGATTTCATTTCAAAACTTGACACTTGCTGATGTATACATGCTTGTGCACTCTCTTTGAAGGTACACAAATACTGGAGGAAACGGCTACAAGAGATAAGGAGATATCCCTCATTTGAAGCAGATTGCAAACAAGTGAGGGCTTGTATCGAAATCGCAGTAGACTGCATGCACAATGACCAACAGCAAAGGCCTCTGATTAACAATATCGTTCGTAAACTATATGAAGTAGAAGCTAAGGGAGATTACCCACCATCACAGATGGGACAGGTATGAACATTCTAGATTTGGGCTGAATGCTGACTATTGTACATAAAAGCTTTAGGTACAACTTGCATACATAGGATACTTATAGGATGCATGGTGAAAAATTGTACTGAAGTCCTTAATTGACATACACACGTACCATAGTCACCCATGTTTTAGTTTTTGACATAGTCATCAGTATGTTAATAATTAGAAGAGCAGTTCATATCCACCATTTCTAACTTCAAATATTTTGGTGTCATCTAAAAGGGCATTCATGGTTTTGAAGTAAGGAAAATGTCATTAAAAGAGTTGGAACAGATCACGAGTAATTTCTCTGAAAAACTTGGTCATGATGACTTCGGTGCTGTTTATAAGGTACAGTTAAGCGTTGCCTCTTTTTCAATGTTCATTAAGTGCAGATTCCAAAATTTTCCACGTATTAATAATAGCAGTTGAGCAGGGAAGGATTGGAGGTGGGGAAGTGATAGCTGTGAAGAGATTCGATGAGAGATTAAGAAAACTAGAGGATCAATTTGAGAGAGTGGTAAATCTTATGAGGCTCAAGCACAAAAATATAGTACGACTGATGGGCTACTGCTACGAGCCAACACAAGTACCAGTTCCTGATGAAAAGAATCCAGAAAAGACAATGTGGTGGAATATTATAGAGAATTTGGTTTGCTATGAGTTTTTGCCAAACGGAAGTCTGGACATGATATTAAATGGTATGGGTAAGAGGGTATGACAACTCAGGATAGCTCTGATTACTTTCCACTTCTCTTTACCTCTTACTTGCTTGGTGCAGACAAATCTTGCAAACTCGATTGGCAAGCTCGTCATAAAATAATACATGGCATTTGTGAGGGGTTACATCACCTTCACGTGGAATGCCAAGATGCGCCCATTGTCCATCAGGGTATAAAACCTACCAATATTTTGTTAGATGATGGCATGGTTCCAAAGCTAGGGGATTTCTACACTTCAATGGCTGTCACGCCAAGGTAACCACCGGTTCAGAAAATTCATTGAGAATCTGGGATCAACTGGTAACCGGCCGGCTCAACCCTTTAAACTCACTTAACTTAAGCACTGAAATCTGAAATAGTAGTAAGCCGGGAAAGCAAGTTGAATACTGGCCCGCTTTAAGGAGAAATGAGAATGTGCCACTGGTTTTGTGGGTGCAATGCTGCTTCGCAGGAATCCATTTCCGCCTTCATATTTTGTGTACTTCTATTCGAGTCCCATGATCTTTCAATAATGAAACATTCGAATGTTTGTTGTGCAGATGTTACATAGCACCAGAGTCCATGGACAACGGTAAAATTACACTCAAGTCGAATGTATACAGTCTGGGTGTTATGATACTAGAGATCTCGACCAGAGATAAGTGTCGTAATGAAGAATCCTCAAGCCGGTCTTATATCAATAATGTAATGCTTCAGAAACTAACCTTGGATGAAAGAGTTATTGAACACAGAAAATGATGAATTAATTGCCTTTTGTAAATATTGTTACATAGTACTTACCTTTTTTCTATTTGATGTTTTGGACTTTGCATGCTTAAAAGCACAAGGCAGCCACATGCTCCTACTAAAAATCTATCTTTTCTATCACTAATTAATTGTGCTTGTCGCCTAGATCAGCCCCTCTTAGCGACTGACAAACTAACAACAATATAGTCTTTAAATATCGCTTGTCACAAAGTCTTGAATAGTGTACAGTAAGTAATCCTGTTTCACCAAATCATATATACACAGTTTTCATTCAAATAGATAAAGGAACAAGAAAATATATTTATTAAAGAAGAGGGAAACATCTTATTTTTTGTCTGATATACAGATAAAAGTGCATATGACTCTGACAAAGCTGCTTGTTCCAATGAATCAGGTGCTAAAAAGTCGGACGCAAAATTCCTACGTTGCATCAAAGTACCCTTCACTTGAAGCGGGTTTCATCCAACAAGTGGAGAGTTGGATTATAATAGGGCTAAAATGTGTGGAGATCCAACCTGAAAGTAGGCCTACTATAGGGCAAATAATGCATTTTCTTAACACGGAGTCTTCCAATGCCGAGGTACTACCGTCAGATTTTACTAATTCTCTTAATTTTAAAAATTTGCATCTCATAATTCCCAAGTCAAGTAGTCAGCATATTAATCAATTAATGGCAGGAACATCTGTAATCTGAGAGGAACCACACATGGCTAGTGTCTGAGCTCAGATATTTAAACTAGCTCGATGAAGTTTGAACCCATTTTGACATGTGAGACTATAAATTTTGTTGTATCCCATAACCATCATGGTCCAATTAGGCAGGATTAGTAAATATTACGTGGATTGAAATACTGTTCTGCGATAGAATATTCCGAGGGTTGCTGGTTCAATTTGTTGTTGCTTTGTTGCGATATTTCATTTCATCTTGTTTCACCCTTGTTGGAAAACCTGGATGTGTTATCTGTGTATCAGGTTTATACATTGTAATCCTTTTTTTCCTGGATAGTTTTACCACTGGGGGGAATTCAGACTTTCTTCTGAAAGCACCATCACCTTATGGCCTTCTTCAGGTTAGTGATATCCCAAATATTCTTATTACCCGTGTGTTATATTTAGAAACGATGTATCAATTCCACTTCCACAAGAAGGAACTGATACCATATTGGTCTCTCATTAGTGGAAAATCACCATGCGGACTCGCTTGAGTGTGGCTATCTCCGGTGGGCTATACCACCTCAAGATCCACCATTGAGTCACATATTTTTCATCATCTAGTACAATGATACACAATATAGAGACGAAACATACATGAATCTCAAGCCACATAATCTGGCGGTGGGCTATACCCCAAGATCCACCTTTGATTTCTGCATTGAGATTCACATATTTTTCACCATCTTCATTTTAGCACATAATGATTTCACGTCTTAATGACGTGAATCCTACAGTGTTGTCATCTGCAAAACAAGGTTAACACGGTCTCAATTATATTGTCACTTAATTGTTAATTCATTTTCATTGTCTAACATGCATAAAGATGAATTAAAGCAATCTAAATATGAATTGTTCTGCCATAGTTAGTGCCTTGATGAACAGTGTACATTATAAAATGTGTAAATCTGAAAGCACAAC